TCAAAAATTTTCTAATATACCTAATCTGTTCTTCTGCTAAGGTATTTAGAAAACTGTATATTAGTACCTTTGCTATAAAAGATTAACCTTTCTTATATATTCTATTTTTTGGTAACTAGATGCTTTGTTTTAAAGTAGCTATAAATATTGGTGCTTTATTTTCTACTTTATGATTATTATTTGTAATTAGACCTCTATATTCTAGCTTCTCGTATTGTAATTTAATCACATCTCTTAGAATGTTATCAACTGAAGCTTCTTCATCATTTTTTATTTTTTCTCTTCTTGATGTTGTATTCTTTTCATTTTCCTTCTTTGTTGCAGCTTTTATAACTTCATCATTCTGAGTATTTGTAAGGAAGTAGAGAGATTTTCTTAAATCATATTATTTATTTTTTTGTTTATATATCTGTTAAACACCTTTTGTTATTTAATTTGATACTTAAGTCTTGTATTTGTTTGACTATATAGATTATATCTCTATTTGTTTCTTCATTATCATCTAATAATTTTCTTTTTTTTTAGTTTTTTTTTGAAGTTTTTCTACCAAATCTTCTTTTTCAATTTCTGCTATTTTGTTTTCTTTTTTTTTAATTTTTCTATACTCATATTTGTAATGTAATCTATTGATGCTAAGTTACTTTTTGCTATTTTTGTTTGTACTGCCTATTATCTGATAGTGTCTTCTTGTAAAAATTCTTCTACTTTTTTAAATACACTTTGCATTTGACTATATAGTAGTATATTAAATATTATAATTCTATTTAGATTTTTTACTGAAAGATCTTTTGCTAATTGTTCTATATTATCTAGTTCTGTTAGTTTAATTGTATATAGAATATCTATTAACTCTTTGCTATTTAGATATTTAAGTAGTTTCTCTACTGCTTCATATATAAATTTTAAGAGTCTGTTTGTAACTATTATCTTTTTATTAAATTTTATTTGTTTTTAGAATTTTTTATTTTTTATTATATATTTGCTTATTTTTGTATATGCATATTCCTTTTTTATTGCTTTCTAAAATTAACATATATAAATATATTTCTAAAAAGACTAACATTTGTTTATTTGTTTATTGTAGTCTTTTCTTAATTACATATCTTTTTTGTTAAAGTTAGATAACTACCTACTTTCAAAATTTTTTATTAGATTTTTTATAAAAGTTTTCATTTTGCTGTTAGTTTGTCTTTACGTCAGTTATTGTTCTAAATAAACTATAGTCATATTGTGCTAAATCTTTTTCTTAATTTGTCAAAAGTTGTTTTCTAAAACTATCCTCATATTTTGGTTTTGTTAATTTAGGAATTGAGAATCAGTAAAAAAGTTGTTTAGAATTACTTTAAGCTTAAATTACAAAATATATAGGATTTTAAAAATAGGATATCAACATTTCTGAATTTATAAACATTATATGATTTGACCAATTAAAATTAGCAATTTTTTGTATTATCTAAGAAAAACATATAGCAATCTAAGTAAACTTTGATTATACAGTATATGAAATTAAAATTTTTTAAAATAATATATATTGCATATAAATTTAAGAAAATTATAATTTGGTGCATCATGCATCATGGTGCACACCTAATTAGGAGGTATAAATTAATGATCATCAATAATGATCATCTTGTTTTTTTCACTTTCATTATTCAGAATTTTATCATTTCTGGTGTCATTGTTTCTGGTGTCATCTTTACTGGTGTCATCGTTTTGGTGGTCATTACTGATGCCGTCATTTCTGGTGTTGTGTCGTCATCGTTACTGATGCCATGTCATCATGTTACTGGTGTCGTTTTTACTGCATTACTAGTGTGATGCTGCCATTTCAGGTATGTAACGGGATTTCATCATTTTGGAGTCTCTTTTTCAGTTTGTGTGCGGGTTTAACTAACACTCTTCTTTCTTTTCAAGTAACAGGATTTCAACACTTCTGAAGTCTTTTTTTGGTTTTATTGTATGTGGTTTACTAATACCTTCTTTTCAAATAACAGAGTTTTGTTGTTGTTACATTCGCCTATAGCATAGCTGGTGTTGATTTTGTTGCTCTGGCATTATGAAGAGCTTTTTTGAATTATGGTTCTATTTATTCGTTTTGTTCTGGTTTGTCTGGTGTTAATTTTGTCACTCTGGCATTATGAAGAGTTTTTTGAAGTATAGTTCTATTCATTTGTTTTGTTCCAGTTTGTACGCTTTTTTTTTCTAGATTAATAGTGTCTTTGGGCTTTCTTGGGAATTTGGGAAGTATGATTCCATTTGTTTGTTATTTTTGCTCTGGTTTGTAAAAGTGGGTAATAATGCCTTTTCTTTTTTTATATTTAGGGTTAGGGTCAAGGTCACTTTAACTTATGGTTAGATTAGTATTAGAGGAGGTTTAGGTGTTATGTAGGGCATCTCTTAGCTTTTTGGAAATTTTGAGAGTGTTTGTTTTGTTGCTCTGGCATTATAGAGGGCTTTTTTGGTAATTCCAGGAAGTATGGTTCCATTTATTTGTTGTTATTGTTCCGAGTTGTATGTGTTACCAATGACTTTTTTTCTAGATTAATAATGTCTTTGGGCTTTCTTGGGAATTAGGAAATATAATTCCATTTGTTCGTTATTTTTGCTCTGGCTTTAACTTATGGTTAGAGGAGTTTTTAGGGCGTTTCTTAGCTTTTTTGGGAATTTTGGAAAGTGTTTTTCATTTGTTTGTTATTTTGTTGTTTTGGTTTGTAAATGTGTTACTAACACTTCCTTTTTTTAGATGTTGTAAAAAGTCTTTGGTGCTGTCATTAATGAAGATATTGTTCGGTTTAGATGTTCATTGTTAATCACTCTTTCAGTGTTGTTATTAAAGTGGTTTTGACTTTGGCATTAGTGTGATATTACTATTTGTAGATTTGTATTTGTCATCATTGGTGTATTTTGTTAGATTTTAACTTGTTTTTTTTGGTGTTTTGGCTAAGCATATATAATTGGGTCTTAAGGATGTTGCAGTTGAGTAATTAGATTTAAGGATTAAAATTTTCATGATATGAATTTGGCATGTATATTAAAATTATGCTTTTGCGATATAATGTAATAAACTTTTATTCTCTGAAATTATATAAATTATTATTCTGTAATAATGATGTAATGTTTATGATAATCAATCATGTGATCAAGGAGTGCACCATAGTGCAAATGCACCATTTTATAAAATTCTAAATTTAATACATATTGATTATAATTTTAAAAGTTTTATCAGGTGCATTTTTTTATTTACTATATAAAAATCTAATATATCACATAGATTATATGAAAAATAATTTACATTCATCTTATCATTAAATAATATATTTTATTAAAAAAAATAACTTGTAATTTGTTTTTATAATTTGGCTGTCCTGCCACTTTTTATTTGAGATTAAACTAAACTAAGAAATTTACATTTCCTAATAATAGCTATATTAAGGGTAGGGTGTCCGTAGATCATTTTTCATATGATCTACGTGGTATATTAAAATTTTACATAGACAGCAAAAATTCGATACTGATAAAACTTTTTAGAATCGTGACTAATCTTCATCAAATTTTTCCAATATATAATTTGGAGTTTCTAATTTATAACAGTAAAATTATAAACACTGTATCTTTTAAAAAAAATCTACTTAAAAAAACTCTTTCCGGTTCACTTCCAGAAAAATACTCGAAATCAAAATTTTGCAAAGAAACTCATTTTTTATCTTCGATTTTTCCAACAAGACAAGGACCTTGGGGTCCAGAAAGCACGAGCTTACTACTCTAGACATGGGTAAGCAACCAAACAACAAAAAGGCCAAACTTTCTTCAAACGGCGACAAAGTTTTTGACTTTACAAAAACTGAAAAAAACAAAGAAAACAACAAAAAACTTGACAACAACAATAACAACAGCAACAATAACAGTTCTAGGCCAGGAACAGAAGTATTAGTGGATTTGACTCTCAATAGGACTGATACAAACTGGGCGAACCAGGTAGAAAAGGAGAAAACTACTACAAAGAAAAGCGAGAGTGAAAATTCTTGCAGTCAACAAGAAACACGTGTAGATCACCCAAACATAACAAGTCGCGTAAATAGTGTAAACAATAAACAAAAGGACCACGTGTCTACAGGTGACCAATCAACTTCTGTGCATCCAAACACTCTGGACGAATCACTTTCATCTGATACATCTGAAACACAAAACAACCAAAATGAGAATACCAAACCCAAACAGTGGTCTGATCTTTTTGCGAAGCTAAAGGGTGGGAAGGCAACCTACTCTAACTCTTCTCCTAGACAAAGAATTTACTCAAAGAACGAGAACGCACTAGTTATTGATATTCAAAGCTTGAACAACATACCAACCAACGATATTATTGCAGCTCTGGCTATGAGCTTAAAGGAAGACCTCATAGCAGCAAAAACTCATACTTCAAGAGGAAAAAGAACCTACCTCGAACTTATTCTCAAAGATAAGGAAAGAGTACAGTACTATGCAGCGGAAGGCATCCCCCTCTTCAAACAAACTCTGTTCGGATATATTCCAGTTAATCTTAACCGATCTTTTCTAACTGTAAAGCTAAAGAACACCCCTATGGGTGATACCAAACTTATTAGCAACCGTATTGTGGAAGCTTTTCATGATGTGGGCCAAATAGCATCTGTTAAACCTCTATTTTATGAGGGGACAACAGTCTGTTCAGATCAATGGTTGGTTACTTTTGAAACCACAGACGACCCAGAGATCACCTCAAGAATCCCCAGAACTACACATATTGGCAATCATAAAGTAACGACAGAATGGAAAGAAGCCCCAAAAATCTGTTTTTACTGTGAAAAGGAAGGGCATTTTAAGAAAGACTGTAAGGAACTTAAAAACTCGATAGAGGCTAGACGTCTTCTTAGAGAAGCTAGATCTAGATTGGAGAAGGAAAAAAGACAAAAATCAGAAACTACAGAAATTAGCTTCAGCCCTAACAACCCATACAAAACCGATATGGAAGAAGTAGCTCAGAATGAGGAAGAAACTACAGGCTCAGACCCAGTTGCAACACCTGAGGAAACCTCAAGCTCCAACGAGAGCTTATCCTCAAGTCCTAATGAGAGCCTATTCTCAAGTCCCAAGGAAAGCTTATCTAGCAACATGGAACTAGATCCTTTAACCACTATCACTAATACAAACCTTGAAGTTAATAAAACAACGGCCAATCTAAACAATGAAATAGAGGAATCTAACATTAACTCTATGGAACAGGATGAAACTCCTTTCACAACGGTAGTAGCAAGAAAATACAAAGGCAAAAGCTTTAAAAAGAACAATCAGCACAAGACCCAGCTATATGGAACACCAGGAAGTTCTAAGCAGAACTTTCTGGGACCTAAGAATTATCACTAAGAGAATTATCTCTTAGTGTAGCTTACAAATTCTACGACTTTTATGATTAAAATCGCTACACTAAATGTAAAAGGTCTAAACAACAGACCTAAAGCTCAGAGAACTCTTACTCTTTTGAAATCATATAATTTAGATATAATTATGATACAAGAAACCAACTTAAAAGACCTAGGTACAAGACAATTTCTATCACAAATCTGGGGCTTCGACTCCTTTTGGTCCTCCAAAACTGCAATACTAGCAGGCAAAAAGAATATCAAACTTACCAATAAGGAAGAATCTCATAATGGGCGAGTTACCAAAGCCAAGACAGAAATTAGACACCAAGCTTTCTCATTCATAAACGTATATGCTCCACCCAGCCTGGACGAAAGAACCTCGTTTCTCAGAAACTGGTCTCCCGATACCTCCACTAATGGCATAAGTATTATCGCAGGAGACTTTAACACCAATCTGAATCCAGAAACCAATAGGATAAGCCAAGCACCAGCACAACATGACCAATCCAAAGGTCTTTTAGAGAACTTAACAAAAGACTATATAGACACAGCACTCTTCTCTAAAGAAAGTCCTTTTCTTACTTACTACCAAACCACTCAAGGTGGTCAAAGAATGGCAACCCGTCTAGACTATATACTAATTGAAACAAGCTACAGTCACCTTTGCGCGAATACATGTACTCGCTTTGGCAACTCTGATCACCTACTGGTGGAGAGCGAAATTAACCTCAAGCCCAAATTTCCAAAAAAATCTCTCTGGAAATTTAACAGAAAACTCTGGAATTCACCCGAATTCAAAACAGATATTACTACAGAGCTTCAAAACATCAAAGATTCTAAAGATTGGAACTGGCACAAATGTGTAATCCAATCTATAGCAAAAGCTATTAAAACTGAACCAGCTACTGAGAAAAATATCCAAAAGCTTCATAAAAGACTTAATAGCTTCAACTCTAAACTTGCAAGAAACCCAGAGCTCGAGAAGCTCAAACTGGTCATAGAGGATCTAAACCTCAAGCTGCAGGAGGAACTTACTTCTCTGTCTGATAAATGGCGACTAAGGTCTAATGCCAAATGGATCGAAGAAGGTGAAAAATCTACCAAGTACTTTTTTGCACTATACAAAAAAAGGAACTCAGGCACTTGTAGCTCCAAGATTCAAATTCCCAACGAATCGAACTCAGTATCACAAGAACAAGTTATGAACTATATCAAAGAATCTTACAAAAATATCTACAAGGAAGAAACTATTGACAGGGAGGCAGCCTTACAACTCACCGAGAACTTAGCACAGGTCTCTTCTGAGCATAATCTCTCTTTAACCAAACCTATCTCAGCTGAGGAAGTAAGTCAAGTAATTGATAAACTTCCAACTGGAAAGACACCAGGAATTGATGGACTTACATATGAGTTCTTCAAAGATACTAAGGAAATTATTGTACCAAAACTAACAAAACTGTTCAACAAAGTTCTGGAAACTGGAAATATTCCAATATCATGGAGCAAAAGTCTTATCACCTTAATACCTAAAAAGGCTGATAATCTATCAGAGCTAGGTAACTGGAGACCTATATCTCTGGTTAACTCAGACGCCAAAATTTTCATGAAAATTTTGGCCAATAGAGTTAATCCTATCTGTAATGATTTAATTGGCCCAGCACAACAAGCATTCATATCCGGAAGATCAATCACAGATACAGCATTAGATATTATCACGGTTATGAGAAATCAAAATGATCAGACCAAACAGCACTGGCTTCTTCTCTTGGATCAACAAAAAGCTTTCGATAGAGTCAATCATGACTTTATTCAAATAGTTCTGGAAAAAATGAACTTTGACCAAAAGTTTAGAAGTGTCATCAGCTCACTCTTTGCAACACAAAAAGCACACATAGTGGATGCTGGGTTGATTTCAGAGCCGTTTAGGGTAGAACGAGGAGTGAGACAAGGGGACCCCCTCTCTCCTCTTCTATATATACTAGCCATAAACCCACTGATTCAGGCAATCAATCAAAATATTAAAGGCATTCAAGTCAATAATTCAACATTCAAGATAGCAGCTTACGCTGATGATCTTTCAGTAGGAATCAGCTCTCCATCGGACTGGTCCAAACTGTTGGAAATACTAGCAAAATACGAAAAAGCTTCAAACGCCATTATTAATAAGGCGAAATCTACTTTAATTCCATTAACAAATATTGCTCGAAGGGTTGAACTACCTAACCAGAACAGGTTTAAGCTCTCTAGTGAGGACCAAAACAGCTTCACTATTCTGGGTTATACTGTAGATATAGAAGGTCATCCAGCAAAAACTCTCTGGTCCGAAGTGACTAAGAAAATCAAAAATAGAATACAAGATCTCACACTAAGAAACCTTTCCTTCAAGGGGAAAATCCTAGCATCCAAAACACTACTCATCTCTAAAATATGGTACTTGGCCTACCTATTGCCACCTACGAGAAAGCAATTAAATGAAATTAACTCTTTAATTACAAATTGGATAAAGAAAAACTCAAGAATGCTACCACAGTACTCAACCTTCCAACTTAGTACTGAACAAGGAGGGCTAGCTGCTCCGATTCTTAAAGACATGCTTGATGTTAGACTATTGTCAATATGGATTAAACTCCTCTCAAGCAATACCTTTTGGGCCAGAACAGAAAGAGAAAAGGCAACAATAAGGCTTCAGAACAAAAGAAAACTATCACCGGGAGCAGCATTATCCCAATCACCTTGCAAAATTAAAGGGTGGCCAGATAGCTGGAAACCCTATATTACAGCTTGGAGAAGGTTTAAAGGGAGCATTAATACAACCTATACCTGGCCTTGGACACTCGAGCAAATCAAAATAAATGATATTGAAGGACAACAATTCACAGTCAAAAAAGTTTTACAAAGTTGGTATAAATCAACCGAACAATCTCGCGATAACTCAGAAAAGCAAATCGAAGGCTATATACCTTACAAGTGGTTAAAAACAAAATGGGTGCTAAACAAGAAAAAAGACATCTTTTGGAGACTAAATCATAGAGCACTCCCACTAGGTTACCGTCTAGTGCACATTGACCAGAACAACTTAGAGGACTGTCCGAACTGCCCTTATGTAACTCAAACAATAGAGCATTTTGCTCTAAAATGTCCACTTAGCAAAATTATCTGGGAAACCACATATAGATTGCTTAAAGAAGCAGAAAACGATCACATACCTAACTCGCTCGAAGAAATCTTTCAAGCAACCAACATAAAAAATACAAAAAAAAGAGAAGCCGCCACTTGGCTTCATATAACAACAATCTATGAAATTTGGTGTTGGTATACCCAAGCAAGGTGGGGTAACTCCTTAATACCACAAGAAACGATCGCAGGGGTTATAAAGATTAGACTCAAATATGAAATCAATCTTCTATATAAATTAGCTTATCGAAATCTGAACTCCAGGCCTAACAAGGCCAGGCGCATAATTAGTTTTATAGAACATTCAACATAAACATGTACTTTAACTTGTAATATTTAATAAAGTATGCTTAAATGCGTAAAAAAAAAACAATCTACTCAAAAAATTAAATACACACCTACCTTCTTCCAATACAAAACACTTATTAAAATCAAAAA